CGTGCAGAATGCCGCTTCCAGATCTCAGGAACGGCTGGGCCGATTGCGTTCAAATTTGGCACACCGCTAGCGACCGGTTAGAAGGGTTCTTTGCACAAGCCCGTTGGAAGAACCCTCTCGCCTTTCCGCACGTGCAGGGCTCACTATCTCGCTCGCTCGTTCTTCGCCCAAAAGGCGTTTTACTGGTTTTAGATATTCGCGAAAAACCGCGGGGGAGGCTGTTAAAACACCCCCCCCCCCCAGCAGGGCGCGGGGAGTCGCTGCGATCGGCCGCTTTTTACGCGAGTTATTTGCGAAAAACGTTAGGGGGCTGCATTAAGCCCCTCGTGCCGGCGAGGGTTAACAACTAAGGAGAGGCGTTAGCCGGAGATGCTTCTTTCTAACCAAACCAAATCAAACCTAACCTTGCATAACCTAACTTCACCCAACCTACAAACCTGCCCGTAGCCCACAATAGGCCAAACATATTTGCGAGTGGCCGGCTGCGATCTTCTTCCGACCTATCTGTTAGGAGGCGGGCACCCTAGCCACTACGCCACGCAGTCTGTTGAGCGGGATGAGGTGTAAGCCAGTTTTCAATTACGCAATGGGATATACTTCTGGAAGCGCCTTTCCTATGTTTAAAAACGAAATAGGTACGTACCGACCGCCGAAGCGGTGGGAACTTGGGAAGTGGGTGATTGCGAGAAGTGCATTCGACCAGCTCTGAGCGCGGTTCTGCCCCCCGTCTGCGTTTTCAGGAGAAGGCGCACGAACTGCTGCACGACATGCCGGGTGTCCACCCGGCTGGCGGCGCCACCAACTGGGAGTCCACGGCGGCGCCGGACAGAAGGTAGAGCGCCACTCGAAACACGCCGCCACACACCACCTCCCCGGCACTCGCAAACGGCGAGCAGTCATTCTGGCCAGGGTTCATAATGTCCAGGGTACGATATGCCCAGTGTCGAAGTGGCCAGTGCCTTGAATGGGCCAGAGTTCATAATGTCCAGGAATTGCATGGTCCAAATGCGGCCAACTGGCTGCAGATAGGGTATATTCAAAGAGGCCAGGGTTTATAATGTCCAGGGCACGATGTGTCAAGTGTTCGAAATAGCCAGGGTTCATAATGTCCAGGGCACGATGTGTCCAGTGTTTGAAATGGCCAGGGTTCATAATGTCCAGGGCACGATATGTCCAGTGTTCAAAATGGCCAGTGCCTTGAATGGGCCAGAGTACATAATGTCCAGGGATTACATAGTCACTGAAAATGACGTCATTATGTAGAAAACACGGAGCCAGCTCAATGCGAAACAGTGCAGTGCCGAAGGCAATGCCTTAGGCAAGATTACAGGCAATGGTAAATCAAATACTTTTAGGTAAAGTGGTTATGTATCTGGCTTCAGGCCGAAGGCCTGAAGCCTGATGCATAACCACTTAACCTAAAAATATTTTATTTACTTGTTACGATTTCAGGCTAGTGGACTGTATTGTGAGATGAAGTTGCAGCGATAAATTATGAAAATCAACTTCTGCCATAAAAGATTTGAAAGCATTTTTGATAAGCCTTCTGAACTCAAATTTGATTTGCTAAATGACACTGGATGAAGAAAAATGGCAATCATGACACATTTCACCCAAATGCATGATGTCCTAACAAATGGGCAAGCACATTAACTGTAATATCAAATACATCAGTCTACCAATGTTAAATGGCAACTTATCAGTGTTAGCAAATTCCAATACCATGAGGATAATTTTCTTACAAAGAAAGCTAATGTGCAAGACATTAACATGAATTAATGTTTAACTCACTGTATGCTGGAAAACATACTTTAACTACCTTTCTCAAAATTTCCAAAGCATTTATTAGGAACAAATTTGACTTTGTTTTGAAGAGTCTGTGATTGATCTTGACCTTGTCTTTCTCTCCATTTTTTTTTTTAGTGGCCCTTACGTTACCGGCCTCGCGAGAAGGGCGGCGACCTAACTACGCCGCGCAAAACAAGCCGGACGTCCTAACTAAGACCGGTGGCCACTTTTACAGCAAGGCAACATGGGAAAACCCATATCCATGTACTATGCCATGAATATGGGGAAAACTCCATGAATTTACGTTAAGACAATGACAGTGAAACTTACCGTTAAATGATGTTTGTGAAGGGGGAGGAGGAAGCTTGTGAAATTGAATGGTACCTAAGGTTACGATGAAAGTTGGATGACAGGAATGGTTTGAATAGTGGGGCATAGGTCGCTGGGAGGGATGGGGTTTGTGAATGTTAAAGCGTCACGATGAAATGAATAGTTTGGAGGATGGGGAATCTGTCGCTGCTGCAGTTGGCGGCCGACGGTTGTCTGTGGTCTTTCAACCCGGCCGCCGCCGCTGTTCAGCGGCCGGGGTCCGCTGGTGTAGCTCGCTGGGCCGCTGAGCCTCTAAGCGTGCTCCCGAGGCTGGAGAAAACCCGTCTGCCATCGAAGCTCTGTGTTTCGGTACCAGCGAAAAGCTCGACCCATCCCGTATCACAAGTCAGCCTGGTGGTAGCGAGACGGGTGCCTGCTAACTCAATTGTCAAGGCCGTTAAAGTAGCTCTGAGTAGGGTGATGTTAGGACGAAATCAAGTATCAAAAGCATTCCTAAAATATAATTGGTTTTTTGCTTGATTCGCACAAAGCAGTTTCAAAACTGAATACATCTAAAAGCATTTCAATGTCGCAGCTGCGCCAAGTACCGATGTAGCTCAATAACAAATTGAAAATAATTGAACAACTTTGTTTTTCTGTATCTTCATTTTTCAGCAAAAGCGGCCTACAATCTTCCTTGAATTAATTTGTCAAAATATATACATAAAATTTTGACCTAAGTAGATTAAAGCAAAAAAGAAAAGGAAAACTTTCTTTTATACAGGTTTGCTATGCAGTTTTGTGCCTGAATGCAAATGGCCGCCGCCATTGTGGAAGAGATGACACGTGACATGTGTCAATGCTTCCGTAAAATTATGGACATTTTACTTAGCTTTCATCGCGATATCATTACAGTGGTGTCTGCTATCTATCAGTGTGCCTCGTAAGTAATTATTTATCAACTTTTGTTGCGTTTAACATTTGTTTATGAAGAAAAATTGGCTGCGTCAGTATCGTCACCATGCTACTTGGTTTGAACCATTATAGAGTTCAGTGGGTTAAACTGTAGGTATCATGGGTTTTGTTTACATTAACCCACGAGCCGCTGGGGGGGCATAAAGTTGCCCCCCCTTTACGTTTTGTGAAATATCTCCGAAACCTGATGAGCTACGAGCGTGAAACTTGGCATAGCTTCAAATGAATACCTAGGCAATGTTTGAGGAAAGTTTGGTGGTTGTAGCACCTAAGATGACGTCACAGTGACGTCATAAAGTTTTGTCGTTTTCCGATATGGACCGTTTCTGATGACGCTGAGCATGAAACTCGACTGTAAATGAACTAGACAGCACCTGCTGTCATCCTAAAACATCTTACTACACTTCCATCTAGTTTCTGACCAATAATCGGCCCTTTATATTCGGTCCCATATATGTGATGCATCGTGAGGAATATGAGAGTCGCAAATCTATAATTTCACTTATGACGTCACTGTGACGTCATTGCAAATGGGATCGACACCAAATTTTGACACAACCTCGGCTAGGTATTCAGGAAGATGTGTGCAAAGTTTCGCTTCTCTATCTCTTCGCGTTGCGACGATATCGTCGCAGAAGTAAAGGGGGGGGGGGGCAACTTTATGCCCCCCCCCCCAGCGGCCGGCGGGTGGCGCGGAGGCCCAGCGGCCGCCGGGTTAATGGTGTACCCAAGGTGTAGCCCATCATTGTCAATTGGGTCACCACTTTTGGATCATGATAACACACTTGACCCTGTCTTGACCGGACTCGAATTGAATGACTCGAATTGAAAGAACGTTTGATGGTTCAGGCATGGACAAGTTTCAGGGTTCAACTTATTGTCCTAACACCTCATGCAGATGACTTGAATCCACATCCCAGTTAAATAACTGACCTGAATATTTGTTAATAGTTACAAAATACAATTAAAAATGTTTTTTTCAATGAAACTAATTTAGAGATTCCCTTATCTGTTTTTGTTACCTTATTTTAAAGTATAAGGTAACTTTCAAGCAGGGATGCGGAGCCGGAGCCGGAGTCGGAGCCGGAGCCGCCGGAGCCGGCATATTTTGCCCGGAGCCGGAGCCGGAGCCGGAGCCGTGAAACAATATAGCCCGGAGCCGGAGCCGGAGCCGGAGCCGCCAAAAAAGGGGGCGACTCCGGCTCCTTTTTATTTTTTGAAGAGGAAAAAATAATTGACCTAGTTCGGTTTGACAGTACAAGGCAGTAAAACATATGGTACTTACGTCATGGGCCATCAAGTGAATGAAAAAAATCCGAATATCCCCAGTATTCCACAGTACGCAAACAACTTCCTGTTTGCTCTCCCCCCCCCCCCCCACGTCTACTGCATCCCCAGAACATGAGGACCAGTCATCAGGTGACGGCCATTGTTTTCAAACCAGTGCAGTGGACTGCGACTCCCAGCACCGTCTCATCCCACACACCCCCCACCCCCCAATGCAGCCGAGACGGGTGTCAGCTTACGATGGTTCACTGAACTCCGATTTGCGGCGACTGCGTTTCCAATGCCATCGCTTCCTAGCCCTTTGTTCTGCCAGTTCTCTCCGAGGTGCGTTTGCGCGGGGACGCGGTGAGCCGGTCATGGCAAAGAGTAACGCGTATAACCAATCCAATTTTTCTTCCACCCGTATTTAAAGGGACCCTCCCACCTTCAAAAAAGTTTATGAATTGGCATGAAAGTGATGTCGCTCGGTTCAGAAAGAGCGAAAACGAATATCTATCAAATTTCACCGAAAAATATTCACCAGTTTTCAAGATATTAGACTTTTACTTTTGTTTACTTTTTTTGGGATCTCCGCTGTTTCTAGCGACTTTATTTTAGAAATGCGGCGTTTGCGGCAGATGTTGTGCGCAAATAGCATAATCATATACCACCGCGTGCTACAAAACGTTTTAGTCAAACATTTAAAAATCGTTAGATATCTGCGCTGACGTCACACATTCAGAGGGGTATTCCTAAGCATTAGCCCCTCTGAATCAAAATGCTGCAATTTTGAAATTCAATATTTCCGATTTAAGGCATTTCTCGATGTTGTGAGTGCCGAAACCGGTAATTGTGAGCCAGGGACCCCATTTTGGCTATCTCAACTCAAATCTAATGTTAAGGTGGGAGGGTCCCTTTAATTGATTGCGTAGGGGATGTACTGAGTCGGAGCCGGAGCCGCCGGAGCCGGAGCCGCCGGAGCCGGACCATTTTACTCGGAGCCGGAGCCGGAGCCGGAGCCGCCATAACATTTCACCCGGAGCCGGAGCCGGAGCCGGAGCCGATTTTTTTCTCCGGAGCCGGAGCCGGAGCCGGAGCCGTCTGAAATTTCCACGGCTCCGCATCCCTGCTTTCAAGGCTTATCATATGTCTTGAGAAAGTTTGAAGCATTTGTTTGATAATTCCCTGGTTTCGGTATCTAGTCGGTATTTCCCCCTATTTCTGAAAATCGGTTCGGTTTTGGTATACTCTCAGTGGTTTTGGTCGGTATCGGTTTGGTATTGGTTTCCAAATTTCTGAAATTGACATCACTAGTGTAAGCTACGATATCGTTTCTCGTTTCGATTTTCAGATTCCGCCTCTAATTGAAACCAATGCGAATGAGCTGATTGACCGTTTATATATGCTCAGTATTCATTTCAACATCGATTGCAAATTGCATACAATCATGGAAATGTCTTGGGCCGCGTCACCACGCCAGAGACTGCATGAATC